ATGCAGAAGAATAATTTCCTAAGAAACAACTCTTGAGTTCTGGTTATATATGTAAAATTGCAGTCTAGACAGAATTTCCTTTTTTACTTTTCTTTGTTCAATATTTATGTGATTAGTAATAGTAACAGTATCATATATTTGTGTGCAATGTTGCAACTGACAAAGTGTTTTAATAAGCTTGGCAACAACCCCTTGGTATCTCATTCTTGCTGCTGAATTTTCGAAGGCAGGTAGATAGAAGTCCTGCAGCTAATAATTGGCAAAATTGTGACTTGGACCTGATTCTTTCAAGCCAACTTCAGTGTTTATTTCACTACATTTTGTCTATGAAGGTTTCCTTCTAGGGAGAGTTGGTTATGGTCTTTCAGTTTTCAACCCCAGTGATTTTGATTGTTATCCCTATGTCCTGCACATAATTAATAACAGTCATTAAATAATTATGGGCCAGAACGGTGACTCACACCTGTAATCCCAACACTTAGAGGGGCTAAAGCAGGCAGATCACAAGGTGAAGAGATCGAGACCATCCTGGTCAACATGGTAAAACCCTGTCTCTACTAAATATCCAAAAAGAAATTAGCTGGGCATGGTGGTGTGGGCCTGTATTCTCAGCTGCTTGGGAGGTTGAGGCAAGAGAATTTCTTGAACCTGGGAGGAGGAGGTTGCAGTAAGCCAAAATCACGCCACTGCACTCCAGCCTAGCGACAAGAGTGAGACTCCATCTCAAAATAAAACAAAAGAATTGTGGAAGGAGATGAGGAAGAAAGGAGGGAAGGAGGAAAAGAGGAAGAAAGGAAAGAAAGAAGGTGGGGAGGGGCAGGCTGCATGGAAGAAAGAGGGAGGACATGAAGGAGGAAGGGAATCCTGTTGTGTGGTAAATGACTTTTGGAGCCCTGAAATGATGGTAGTAGTTCCCAAGTTCTCAGCTATTTCACAGAACTGTCTAGATTCCCCAGCAATGATCATTTGTCCTGACCTTTTTTGCCAAGGCAGACCAGGTCTAGAGTACAGTACTAGAGAATACATTCTCTGGTATTAAAAGGAATGGCCCAAACCACAATTACTTTTGCACCAACCTAATAGTAAGTTACTGCTTTACCTTATACTTTCTTCCTCATAATATTGTAGTTGCTGACATACCAAGGAAAGTGTGTTTGGGATAAAGTGGTCATATAAATGGCAAACATCAAAGTAATATCAGATTTTGTAGTGTTTTTCTAATTGCTGTTCATTTAGCAGTCACTACTTCTAGTAGTAACTCCCAAATTCTGAAAAACTAATCACAAATCACAGGGAGACGAGGTTTAGGAAACACTGAATGAGTGAGATCTACTTCACCTCCTTCCTGGAACAACTATGGGCCGGGCGGGGTCATCTTTTATATATTGAAACCTATTTTATCTTCCAAATCTTTACCTTTAATACAAGTCCTCCTAGCTCCCCCAGAAAGAATACTGCTTGCTCTGTTTGGCATAGGACCCGCTTTGTCTGTTTCATTATGTTCTGGTTGAATTGCCAAGTGGAAACTGATTTAGGAATACTGAGTGTATACGGCACAGAGAAAAATTATCACTTTAAAATTTATCGGCCTGTGTAAGACTGTCAGGGCACTGTGTTCCAATTGGGAGAAACCTGGCAAAAATCTGAAGAGTGTATGTAGCACCATCTCCATCCCGGGTTCTTCTGACAATTACAACTTATTCCTGTGCTTGGCTGGTTCAGAGCAGCTGCATCCAGTCAGTTGACACTTCGCATCACCTGGGAGCTCCTTGCTGCCTTACAGTTCATGATCATTTTTTGATCTCACTGCTGCTAAAGGATAAAAGTGCTAAGCATAATAATCCAGGACTGTATGAGATACTTGCTACTTCGTTTCCCTCCAAGAATCATTTTGCTATCAAATACCCCATTACTAGTTTCAGGTAATGATCTAAGACTTTTTTAAATGAATATGTCAGAGCCAGGTGCTTCAGGATAGCATTACAAGGATAATCATTTCAGGGAGATATACTTTTGTTTATAGTTTTTTTAGTTGTTTCTAGTTTTTAACACACGTATTAATCTCATAAGTTGTTTCTAGTTTTTAACATACGTATTAATCTCATTTTGATAATCTCATAAGATCAGAAAGTCTAAGGAAGAGGCATGTCTATCTGTTGTTTATATCACTGCTATTTTTATTGTTTACATTTTATAAGGAGTGCCTACATTTTGGGGGGAAGTGGAATGTTGGTTTTGTTGTTTTAGCAAAAGTGTTGGCATTTGTCCCGAGAGAGCCCAGGCAGTGTTTGCTGTTCAGGTTGCATGAAGGGCAATCTTTAGCAACCTGTCAGAGATGCAAAGGCCACTCGGGTCTGCTTGAGGTTCAGAGTTCCTCTGCAGGACTGCACAGTGACAGCACACTGCAGGTGGCCCATTCAGCACTGTCACCTGGGGCAGTAAGGATACCCAGCTCCATTTGTCATCCTGTGGAATCCTGTCAGCAGTTGAAAGCCTTTAAGCACAAAACCTTTAACATTCAAGGCAAATTTCCTAATATTTTTTAAAGGAAATTGCTGTGGATGAAAATATTAATATATAGCACCTAAATAAGTAGGTTTTCACATGAAGAGAAAATATTAGGTTAAAATTATACTCTGTGTGATATCTAGGAATGTTGTATATTACATGGTTTTACAGACCAAAAATGCAAATCATGTTCTCCTCTTCTTGATGAAGATGTTAAAGTGTAAGTGATAATTGATGGTAAAAATCACCTGTCTCCTCATTCTTTCTTATTCCTCTTGTTTAATTTGTTTGGTTCATAGGCCTGGAAAAGATGCCTTGAAATGTAATTTGAAACTAACTTTTTTTGATGTAATAACAAAATTAGTCTAATTCTTATTTATCCATAGTAATGATTCCAGAATAACATGCATCTCCTTAGAAATAAAGTTCTCCTTTAAAAAAATATAAATAGCATACATCTTCAAAGTCCCCAGATTTCCATTGTCAAGCTTTTTCTCTCATTGAACATGTCCAAATTAAGAGTCTTCCCTACTTGCCCATTAATATTTGCTATTATTCATTGAATGCCAGTTTTGTTGTTTTTTTTTTTTTGCCAATTCCTTTATCTAGATTATTTATAATATCTACAAAATTCTGTAAGAGTGCCATTACCCCTGTTTACTTAATGGGAATTTTGAGCATCTGAGTGGTTAAGTGACTTATTCAAAACCAGTAGGGGACAAGATTTGAACCACATCTGTCCCCAAATTACAAATTGTTTTGAGTGCCTTTTGCTGTTATTCCAAAAAGCCATGCTAAGACCAATGAAAGGGGTCCAAAAACATGCCTTAGACGGGAGAATAAGAGGCAAGCAAGGCCATGAGTAATTCAGAAATGGAATAATCAGATGCTGAGTATTCCAGTCAGATAGAATAAAAATCAAACAGGGGAGAAGACAAAATTAGGTTATGTGTCACAACAAAATGTAGACTTATGAAGGAAATGAACAGGAAAGGCAGAAGAAAATGGAAAAGTAATACATGGCAGGTCAAGTAAAAGTAAACAAGGGTATATGAAATTCACATGGAAATAATAAAACAGAAATTAGTAAGGAAGACAGAGATTAAAAATTCATAAGAATGTATCAGTAGACAAGAAAAAAAATTGCCTCTAAAGTTGGATACTTTTTCCTTAAAAGTGTATATAGAATCTGCACTGGCTTGATACATTGGTTGTGCTTTTCATCCTGATAATATCATTGATAAACATTGTATACATTAGACATTTTTTGGTTGGGACTGAGTATTGCCCATGCTGTTCCCAATGATATGAGAAGCATCCTGGTACTAAATGCCCTGGTAGCCTGGGGCTGAGAGCTTTGGCCCTGTATAATTCATGTGCCCACTTTTCATGTAAAGTGAAGTTTGACAAGTAAATATTAAGTTAATCGTATGAAGGTGTTGCAAACCAAAATTGAAACTTATTTCTACCCCTCATTCAAAATGGAGATATTTTGTAGTGCTTTAGTCTACATTTACAGTGATATTAGATTCTTTCCATTTCCTTAAAAGTATGATGGCAGTTGGACATTCAACCATATTCCTCTAAGAAATTAGAGTAGAAAAAAATGGCTTCTAATCTGCATTGTTAATATGTATCTGACTAATAATCTATAATGTTTTCACTGGGAACAAATAAGCCAACTTACTTTTTTTTATACATACTGTACATCATGTCTAAAAAAATGTGAAGGCAATAGGCACGTAAAACATTTCAAAATAAATAATTTTATCAATTAGTTGCCATTAACAAATAGATGTCTAAATTTTGTTGCGATGACATGACTTTATACCATTATCTTGAACCTTCCTGGGAAATGTATTTTAATTACAGTAGATCTTGTCTTTTCCAACTACCTGGAAAATTATATATTGGTTTAAAAATGTTGAGCCCCGGCCTGGTGCAGTAGCTCACGCCTGTAATCCCGGCACTCTGGGAGGCCGAGGCAGGTGCGCAGGAGGCCCAGACCATCCTGCCCAGAATTGTGAAACCTCATCTCTTCTAAAATACAAAAATTAGCCAGGTGTGGTGGTGCGCGCCTGTAGTCCCAGCTACTCAGGAGGCTGAGGCAGGCGAATTGCTTGAACCTGGGAGGCGGAGGTTGCAGTGAGCTGAGATGGCACCACTGCACTCCAGCCTGGCAACAAAGTGAGACTCTGTCACAAAAAAAAAAAGAGAGAGAAAAAAAAAGAAAAAAAAGTTAAGCCCCTTTTCCTATTTAATTATAATAAAATTAGTTAACTCAATAATTCTCTCTTTTACAATTTGATTCCATGTAATTAGACCCAGAAAGTGCTTAACTTCTTTGCTATTGTTTGTAAGATCTGCAAGCTTAGTGAAATCTCCTGTACCTTATATGAACTCTCCCTTTTCTGATGATTTAAGATTAAAGGCTGCTTAGAAGGGGGAAAAAGAAAGTCAAAGTTAATCTTTCTCCTTTCTCTCCTCTTCAGCTACATCTACATCTACTACTGGGACAAGCCATCTTGTAAAATGTGCAGAGAAGGAGAAAACGTTCTGTGTGAATGGAGGCGAATGCTTCATGGTGAAAGACCTTTCAAACCCCTCGAGATACTTGTGCAAGTAAGAAAAGAAATCCTGTGTGTGGCTTATATCTATAACTGCTTGTTTCAGATGATTCTATGTCTCATGATGTATTGTTTCTTTTTTTCCAATTTTCTTGCATCATGTTGAATAATGCTGTTTTATATATAGAGTGTTTTAAAACATCCATATCATTTGTCATCACTCCTCTGTCATATCCAGAATTGTTTTTTGCTCTTTTCAATGTGTGTGATTTTTTTTTTTTTGCCGTTATTTATAATGTTGCTTTCTTTGTGGTTTTTCATGTTGTGATTCAGAAAAGATGGGCAAATATCTTAGAGGCCTATAACTTTTGGTATCTACTTCTACATCCAATGTATCAATTAAGCTGTAAGATAATGTTGCTTTCTTATCCCAGTGATCACCCGCAAAATGAATAAGACAAGTAAAAGAAGCAGAAAGGCAGAAGATTATTGGCTGACATATGTCTGTTACACTTGGGATTGTCTTATTGTTTCATAACCATATTTTAAATGGACTTTAGATTTATATTGCTAGTAAAAAGAAAAGAAAAATGTAAATTACATGTATTTAGAAATCCATCGAGTGTGTATAGCATCCCTGTGGGTAGACAGCAGTGTTCTTTTATTCGTCTATAGATATATCTAGAATAGCACTTTCTTTCCAATGACCTGAAAGAGTTGATGCACCACTAAGAAGTGTCCAGTTTATTCTGTCTCAATAGGCAGAGTAAGATAGTGATAGTATCAGTCAATTAAATATTTAAACCTTGTAGTAAAAACTAATAGGACTCATTCAAAAGCACGTTTATTTTGCCATGTATTTTAAGTCTGCTATTGATATTTAGCCTATATGTGCTATATGGACTCATAATTTGATGTGGCCCTAAAAAGATATATAATGTTTTATTGAAATGATGAAAATACACATTCATTTTGCTGTTCACAAATAGCTGTATCCCAAAAGTGACGTATTTTAAAGGTTGTTCCTTAAAAAATGTAGTATAGAACATCTAATAAATTTTGCCAGCAGTCCCCAGCTGGAAACATGCAGTGGGGACATTGTTCTAAAGCAGCAATGCTTATTCTGAAGGAGGGAAAACCATTTTGTTGTAAAATTTTTTTTTTCATAGAATATTGGCATGTGACAAATCTTGACAAGGAAGAACAAGGCTCTTAGGGAGGCAATTGAACTGATAGGAGCAATTAGCAAAGTGAAAAAGACACAAGAAATAGTCAACTAGGTCATGTCTCTTTCACATCACAGAAATACTGTATAAATATTTAGGTGCCAATTCTAATAAAACCTTAATTATGTTCATAAGTAAAGAAGTGCATCTTAAAAGACGTATGTTTTAAAGACCAAAAAAAAAAATCGAAAATGCCATTTTGTAGGCCATGTTTTGCTGCTCTCTGAGCTGAGGTAAACTGGGCATGTCTGTGGTATGCCTGATGGGAGCTCATGGCTCTGAACAAGTACCTTCCAGAACTGCTTCCTTCTTGTACTCAAAAGCTCTCCTTTAAAGAGAGTAGATACAGTGTCAAGATAAGACAGGTTCTGGTGGTTGTATAGCTGATTTTATCAAAGACAGATAATTTGTAAAAGTAAATATAGTCTGTTAGAGCAAATAAAAGACTTGGAGCCAGAACAGAATTCAAATCTCAATTACTAAACATTTCTTTTATGGAAATAAATAATTTTTATAAGCCAAAGTGAAATGATAGGTAAAAGTCTTGCAGAAATAGGAGTATGAGGACAAGTGCATGCCTGTAATCTCAGCACTTTAAGAGGCCAAGGCAGGCAGATCACTTGAGCCCGAGTTCAAGACCAACCTGGGCAATGTGGCAAAACACATTTGCTACAAAAAATGCAGAAGAACGATTAGCCAGGCATGGTGGCATGCACCTGTAGTCCCAACTATTTGGGAGGCTAAGGTGGAAGGATCACTTGAGCCTGGAAGGTTGAGCCTGAAGTGAGCCGAGATTGTGTCACTGCACTACAGCCTGGGCGACAGAGTGAGATAGACACACACACACACACACACACACACACACAGAGACACACACACAAAGTGTAGAAAAGATCATCCCTTTTAGATCTGAATTATCTCATATGACTGTTTATTGTTTAAAAGGTAATGTTAGAGATTCACTCCTTGATCATTAAAATATTCAAATCTATATGCTTGCAGCAGAATAAAAATCTATCCGATTTAGTCTCTAATTCTGCTGACTTGCTGTGAATACAGTACAAATATGAGACATCCCCATATTTATCATAGCAAATTGGGATGAACCAGCTTTTGAGTTTCCTGTAAACCTTTCTCTGATTGAAATAGAAAATGCCAGAAGCTGAGAATTGTAATCTATAAAACATGAGGTTCATTTGATATATGGGAAAACTTTGTTACATTTTCCTAATCTTAAGCATACAATGTAATTGTAGTTTAATAAATCTCCTTGAAAAAACATTTAAATTATAGTTCCTTAAATTCTTCTCCTTTTTAAACAATGTACCCATATTATCTATGTCTCATATTTTTACTTCTTCAGAAAAGCATCTGAGACCACTATATTTTAATTATCATAATGAAATACGATCATTTTTTCTCATCACTTTGCAAAGATTTACAAGCTGAGTGAGTACATATGATAGTTTCTGTATACCTCTAAGGAACAAAGGCAGTTCTTTTCCACATATTAATTTCAGCCATTCTTTAGCCCTCCCACGTCCAATACAAAACATGTAATCACATAAGTGTTGTTGTTTTTCCATTTTAATATTGTGCCAACAACCGTAATTTTTCTTCACTCAGCACAGTTTCTCGTTAAATTTTAAGCCTAATCTAGAATTAAAAACTTGCTATATTTTAAAACTCTTGAAGTGAAACATTTGGAACTCTTCTAGTAATTATTAAAGCCCCAAGCCATGAATGAACACTACGTCCCCCAAACTAATTGTCTAGTGGATCATTCTTGCCTTCTAGTTCTAAGAAAAATGTATCTTTTTTTTTATTTTGCTAATTAGAATCTCTTAGGGAAGTGTTTTAAATTGTTACTGGATCTTATCAGAAAGAAAATCTTTGACATCTATGATTTTGATAACTTTTCCCCTTCTTTTGAATGGTGACTTTATTCATGCATTAAAACAAACCAGATCCTTGAGGGAAGAACTGGAGAATATATTCTACATACAAAATATTTCAAATTTTTCTTGTTAAATGAAACTTTTTATTTTTTTTAATTTTGTATGTGAAACATCTATGGCATTAAAAATAATTACTACTCAGAATTTAAACAAAGACACATATTATACTGTGTCTTATGATAATACATTGTTCACTAGACCACTTGAATAGAAACAGAAGACATAAAAATATTGCTTTGGCTCATCACGGTCCTGTCTATGAAGCCAGTTCATAGTTTCCATATGGTCTATCTGTCTAGAGCTAAGCATTGCTGAAGCATGAGCCACATCATTGAAAATCAGCTTTATCCCTGACTAAAGACATGACTCAGAAACACCACAAGCATGGAAGTTTCCAAGTAGTCTCTCTGGTCACCTAATCCGCTGTTGTCTTCTTGGGAGTTGAAGTAGAAGATTTTACAGCAATCCCTTTTGTCTCTCTGCTTAGAACAAGGTGTTTAGAATGGATTAAACATATTAACAGTGCAAATCTTCTCTGAGGAGAGTTTTCCAGATTGCTTGGACCTCCTCCTGGGGACTATGTGGGAATTTCAGTGGTGGTTCTCATCTTTTATATTTTTTTCTCTACAGTAATTTAAAATTTATTCTGTGGAAAAAAAAATAGTTACTAATCCAGATTATGTAAAGATGAGAAAAGAATCATTCCATTTTTACCCTCTGATGCTCTATGTAGTCCTGTGGTTCAGAAAAAACAATATACATGAAATCGAACATGAAATTGTCCAGTTTTCCTCTTATGTCTTTTCTTTATTCTTGTATATCTGTTCTTCTGAATAGTTTCATTGGAGAACTACTTTGGAAGATATTGATGTGATTTTTTTAATCTAAAAATTATTTTATATTAGGCTGTGCTTATAAGTCCAATATGTTGTCCAGTGGACAGATGTGCCTTCATCTGGAGGGGATTAGAGTTTAAAACTACCAATTTTGGTGAACAATCTTATGTCCTTTCACTTCAACTCTCTGGACAATATATTTATTTATAACATGAAGTTAATATGTTCTCCAAATTTCTTCCCAGGGAGTCAGTGCAATTAAATGAGTTCATTTCTGCTAAAGTACTTTTAACTCTGGGGAAGCAAAATTTATTTTTCCTTATAAGAAAAAGAAAATGGTAGTATTACATTCTCTCAGTAGACGTTGGGAAAATATATACACCTGTTTTAACAGACTGTGTTATCATGTTTAATTTCTTTTTGTTGTTGTTGTCTTTGTTTTGTTTTGAGATGGAGTTTCACTCTTGTTGCCCAGGCTGGAGTGCAATGGTGTAATCTTGGCTCACTGCAACCTCCACCTCCCAGTTTCAAGCGATTCTTCTGCCTCAGCCTCCCAAGTAGCTGGGATTACAAGCATATGCTACCACACCCAGCTAATTTCTTGTATTTAGTAGAGATGGGGTTTCACCATGTTGGTCAAGTGGGTCTTGAACTCCTGACCTCAGATGATTCACCCGCCTTGGCCTCCCAAAGTGCTGGGATTACAGGTGTGAACCACCAGGCCTGGCCCATGTTTAATTTCTAATTCTTCATTTTATTTAAGACTAGCAGTTTTCTTGGTTTGTTAGGACCACCAAGTATCTTTATAACTTTTCTTTGACAGATCATTTAATGTTTCTGATCATTAGTTTCCTTATGCAAAAACAAAAAAACAAACTAAATTTGGAAAGATGGGCGGTATCTATAAACATAGACATTTATAATTGTGTATAATAATGTTTATGAAATCATGTAGGGAGCACTAAACACAGAAAGGAAAAACCAGTACCAGCCATTGCAAAAAAGAACCAAATGGTAAAGACCAATGATGCAGTG